TTTGTACTTGACAATGGCAAATGTGATGTGTCGATTTCTTACACGAGTGGTATATAATTATAGATGAATGTACATCGCGGTATGCATATAATTGATGAGATGCCCCAATACCCTGTTGTTTGTGTAACAAGTTTTCATCAATGTGTCATTTTCTCGTGGACATGAAAGCAAAAGCTTTAGTTATCATTTTGCCCAAATGGGACAATTATGGCCCACCATCCAGTTTTGGCGATTGTTTGAAGGAGATTATATGTTGAATGAACTGCCCTTTACTTGTTCATGTTACAAAGAAGAAGAAATGCGAGAACAGCTGAACAGGCTATAATCTGATGCAAGTAAAATTGTGTTGACATGAAGTCATGGGGGATGGAGTGGGGTAGGGTGGGACCATGGATTTTCACTCTGATAATTCACTTTGGAACATTAACATGAAAGTTGAAGGTGCAGACGATTTAATGCAGTACCCAATCCCATAATGGAACATAACCTGACACCATTCCTACTGTCTTCTAGAGAAGAAAGAGTAGGATTTACAACAATGGCCAATGATAAAACAAGTAAAATATTGGGTGAACTGATGAGTTTGCTTTCAAACGATTTTTAACAATCGAAACCTAGACCAAATTCTTTCCAAACGGTTTGGTTCTGAATCAGTGGAAACTTAAATCACCGTGAATTTAAATCAATGGTTTTGCAATTTCGGTTCGGCTTGTTGGGTAGATGGTTTTATGTTCACCCCTAATGGAATCTACTTAAGGAACATAAGGTTTTCACGAGGCTGATCTTTAGTTGCCACCCAAGAGTGAATGCCTTCACTGGATATAATAAATTTGGTGTAGAAAGTCCCGAATTGTGATCATTCTGCTATGCAAATTTCTCGAAGAACGAAGTCATAGGGACATAGTTTCAGCCGAAAGCGTTTACAAGTAAAAGTAATTTAAATAGTGGAAGTAAAATATAATATTGTATATCAAATATGCACAATGTGTAAATATATAAATACTAGTCTTTCCCCCGTGCTATGCACGGTAAGATGCACAAAACGACAATTCAATACTAATTTCGACTCACAAAATTTGCCACTGACCATCAGTACAAATATAGTCCAAAAATCGTTATCATTCAACTTGGAAAAGGGGTAAAAAAGATGGGAAAAATTTAGCATTTCAAATTTCACTTCACATGACATGTATAAAAATAACGTC